CTGAGCAAGAATGTAAAGAGCTTATTTCACAATTTTGCTATTTTGATGCTATAAAAAAGCCATTTGACCTACCATATATTTATGATTGAATACTTTAATATTGTAGTAGGAATCTATCAAAAGTCAGCCATGTCATCTTTCTGAACTTGCACTAAGATTTTTTAGTATTTCACTGTCACAAGCAAATTGTGAAAGAAATTTTTCCATTCATAAGTAGTTTGTTGGTAATAAACATACACGTCTTGAAATTGACAAGCTTGAAGAAATGGCCAATAAAATATGACAAATATATGAAATAAACTTAACTACTTCGATGCTAAGTTGACCAAATCTGAATTACATGAAATGGTAAAGTTTACAATTATTGATGATTATATTGATAATTGTCTTAATAATTATATAGTAGACGAAGAAGTAAACAGAAATAATAATACATATGAAGAAGATCTAAGTTCATTATTACAGACTAATTTAATTTTAGAAGATGTTGTAAATCTTTAAGACCTAGTCTTTTAAGAAAGAGATACTGTACTATTTAAATTTTCTTTTAATATTTCAGAGACTAGTGTTGAAGAAAATGTCAATATGAACTTTAATTCTGAGAATCTTGTTGATTCTGTTTTAAATGTCAATTTTGATTAAATAGCTACTTCTATTATATTTAAATATTAAACAATTATTAATAATGGATTTTGATATTTAAAATAATATGCTATACGAATGTAATAGAATAATAACATTATTATTGCTTTTTTTTAAAAAAAAGACCCTATAAATAATTATTAAATTTGGTTTTTAGGAATTTATATTATATCATAAAAATTATATATTATATATCAAACATTGAAATACAATGTATTAAATATGGCACATATTAGATGTTACGATACATGCCAATTGTTATGGCATATGCAAGTTGTTATGGCATATATAAGTCAAGGACCTTTTGATATATCTTCATATCTCAAGTTACAGCTATTAGAATGTAAAAAAGGTTATGGCACTGATCATATTCCTGCACTTATAATATAGCCTCTTATAATTTACTAAGACCATAGTATCAAGAACCAAATTCTTAGTATAGCAATTATTCTATAGTCAGGGACTATATCAAATATATAACAGTTAAGTTCATGGCAATATGTGCAGCTACCCTTCCAAGATTAGTTTGTGCTATCAACAATGCAAAACCAATCATAGTCAGAAGATTTTAGAGAGATCAAAAGAAAATCAGAAAGGCTAAGTAATATTGTTTGTTATATTTGTGAGAAAAGAGCCATATAGCTTTAGTTTGTCTTCACAAGAAGACATGATCATTTTTTTAGAAGTCAGAATCAAAGCCAGAAAGTTGACTATACTCAGGTTAATGCTCAAATGAAGTCACCAAGATGGAAAAAAGAGGAGCAGATAGTTGCAAAAAGGATTTATTAGAAGAGATCAGTGGATTATTGGAAGTAAGTTGTCAGCCAAAAAGCATTGGTATTGAGTTAGTTGAAAGAAAAAGTGTCACTGTTTCTGAAAAGGGTGAAGTTATTGATAAGGAGAAAGGTTTCAAGCCAAATCAGCTTTTCAAAAAAGGAAAGAATTTGGTTAAAGGAAGAATTAGACAGCTATGTATATTGAAAACAGTTTGGCTGATTTATCAAAAAAAAGAAAACTCAGATTTTTTACTAGAAGTAAGCCCAATTTTTCTTATTCCAAAAAGAAACTCAAAAAAGTTAAGATTAATGGTGGATTTAAAGAGATTGACCAAAATACTACCTTACAAAATAGTATGTTTTAAAAACTTAGACAGGTTTCTAAGTTTAATAGAGCAGAACTGATAGGTAATTATCTTTGATCTGAGAGATAGTTATCATTATATAAGCATAAACAATTAGGCACAGTGTTTTTAAAGTTCAGCATAAAGAAAAATGGTATTGTTATATACTTTTTTCTTTTGGCCTCTTACAGGCAGTTTGGATCTTTTTGAAGATTATGAGAGCTCTTGTGGAATCTTGAAGAGTAAAAGAAATATCTTGTAAAAACCATCTAAACAATGTTTGGATAGCCTATGCAAATAGAGAAATGTTATTAAAGATCAAAGACATGATTGTAAAGATGAATTTAAAGAGTTATAGTTTGGTAAGAGCAGTCAAAAAAGGAAAATAGAAGCCAGTTCAAATGATAACATATTTGGGACTAGAAATAAATACAGTTTTAGCACAGATGTAGGTACTAAAAGAGAAGTTGGAATTAGTAAAGAAGGAATTAATGTCACTAAGGCAGTTGAGTTATTTAATTTAAGAAAACTGGCCTTTGTGGCTAGAAGAATCCAAAGCCTAGCTTAGGCATTGCTTGTAGCACAAGTAAAGTAATTAGAATTTTATTCACTAATAGATATCAGGAATCGAAATTGTTAGAATTAAGATAAGGTGGTTATGCTATTAGATCAAGTAAAGAAGAACATAGATTGGTTATGCAAAAATGTAGAGTGCTAGAATGAAAAGCTATTATAGAAACCATTTCTAGTAAAACCAATATACATAGACATATCAACAACAGGATAGTATAGAGTTTATATAAAAAACAGAGCAGCAGAAAGTTGAAATCACTCTGGCTAATCAATAAAAATTGCATAGTTCAAAAGTTTAACAATCTTGAGGATGCTTCAATCTTTTGTAAAATTAATAAGACATTCATAACTAATGTTATTTGTTGACAACAAGATAGCTTTGAGAATAGCAACTTGAGAAGGAAGTCAATTTTGGCAGAAAGAGATAGCATGACAATTGTAGAAGTTTGTATAGAAAATAATATTTGGATTTATAAGATTCATTGGGAGCCAATTACAAAAAATCTGGAAGATTATCTAATCAAGAATATGAATAGGAATGATTGAAAACTGTGTAATAAGGTTTTTGTATAGCTGGAAAGTTTGTAAGAAGAAATGTTAATAGACAGGTTTGCAGATTACCAAAATATAAAAAAAAGACACTTTAACTATTTTTATTTCTGTTCAGAAACAAAGACAGTAGACACTTTTATCCAGAATTAGAAAGAAAAAATAAATTATATTTGTTCATTCTTAAATTTGATTCATTAGGTTTTAATATATGCATGAAAGTATAAGGCAATGCTAGTGATAATTATACCAGTATAGAAAACAGTTTTGTAATGACCTCTGTTTCTATTAGCTTCAAAGAAGTGCATATAGCTGCCAGCTACAAGCAAAACTTTTTACCAGATCCATCAGGTTAAATAAAACTATACAGAAACCTAAACTGAAGTTTTTTTGATAGCAAGAATAAAGTGGTCAAAGAGTTATTGAAACATGTTAAGAAAATAGCTAAAAATTCAGTTTGTTTATCTCAATAAAATCAGCTTAGCAAAGCTTATGAGTTTTATAAATAATTCTGTAAATGAGTAGAAGTAACAGAAGATCAGATTAGAGGATAGCGATCCTAGTATAGTAGTTGGGTTATTATCCTCCAAGCAGTAGGTCCAATGTTCAATTCCTATCAGCAATAGATTTTAGAAAAATAAACCTATTCTAGCAAACTTATTTATGATCTGAGGTTTGTAGATCCTGTAATTCTGGTTATACCCAAGACTAACTTTAGAAGTGTGCAATGTTATACAAATAAATTCAGAAAGTATATACTCAGATTAGAAGCCTGTTTAGAAATCCCAAGCAGAGAGGTAGTATAACTTTTGACAATACCATCTGTGAAGATCTTGATCTACTAAAGAAAACCTAAGGCAGGTGACCTGTATAGGCAAGAATCTTTAGGTAAGAGGTCCACCAATTTGGCTACTGGTTAATCTGGGCATGAAGTTGCATCATGCAGGGCTAACTAGATTGGTAGTATAGGAGAACTTGCAAGAGTAGACAAGGTACAGTGAAGTTGTAAAATGAGGATACTAGGGTTGTATGAACTTCACAAGAGTTGTAAACTAGGTTTAATTGTAATTTGGGATACAAAAGACTTTAGTAACAATGTCTTGAGAATAATATGCATGAAATAAGGTAGAAGTCCTAAGGGTATGAGTAAACATCTAAAACTTCTCAACTGACATTATGTAACAGAGATGTTCTAGTAATAACAGTAAGGATTGCAGTACAGAGTGTTTAAATAGGCAACACCTATAGTTGGATTGCAGGTATGGCAGCTAGTGTAGAACCTATATATAGGCAGACTACTTAAATTAGACATCAAAAGTGTATGTGTGACTAGATGTATTCTCTAATGTAAGGTAACTCCTCTGAGGTAATTAGAACATAAGTTACCATATCCTACAATACTGAATAAAAAAACCCTAGTTCCCAAAAGACTAGTTTAAAAAAAAAATAAATAAACAGAAGATCAGATCAATGAGAAAAGATTACTAAATTTATCAGTTGACTAGATGTGTCAGGTATAAGTTCCCAAGTACAAGCTTATTTAAATGCTTTATTTAAAAGATTTAAATGTTTAAGAAGAAAAGCTTTGATAGAAAGTTTTAGAATCAAAAAGTTGTTAGAGGTTTTAGGTTGATAAGAGCATAAGATTATAAGCCATTCTAGCCTTATGATCCTTTTCAACTAGTAGTATTGAAAGTTTATTATAATAAATCATTAAAATATATAGATGCATTACTTTAGTGTCAAGACCTAGTATTGGTAGTGATAAGGTTTCATGCAATGAAAAGGCCTAAAGAATTCTATTTATTAAGATTAAAGGATATGAAAAAAAAGCAAGGTCTTTTATAGTTGAAAATTAGAAAATCGAAAAATTACTCTTTTGCAAATAGAAGGTTTGTTCTAATAGAGAGGACAGATAGTAGGTTTTGTCCAGTTCAGTTATTGAAAAAATATTTAGATATTAGACAAAATACAGAGAAGAATGAACCTTTATTTTTGTTAAATTCAGGTGGACAAATAACAGTAACAGCAATTTCATCTGTGGTAAAATGAATATCTGAGAATGTTGGCTTGTAAAGTCATTTTTAGTATACAGTTTGAAAATTAAGAGTGCCACAATGATGATAAAAGTTGATATAAATTTGACTCAGATTAAAGCAATTGGTGGGTAAAAGTCTAAAGCAATACTTTTGTATTTAAGGATGGTGGCTACAACAGAGATTTAGACATTTAGGTTGATAGATTTTTAGTACAATATCTAGTTGTAGATAAAATTACGTATATATAATGCAAATGCAAATCCTACAAAATTTTATAAGTTTGCTGATAATCTGTATGTTTTGATGCTCTAAATATCTCATGATTTGTATAGTTATATTGAGCTCAACTATAATCTATGCAGAAGAATAACAAATAAAGGCTACTTGAAATGAAATCATAAATAGTCCTTTTGTCATGAAACTTGTAACAATAATTTTGATCTGCAGAAGTAGTGATCTGCATCACTGATGACAGGGATTAAGCATACTATAAGGGGTGATGATTAGTAAAAAAAGAAAAATAGTATTTATAATAAGGGTATCTTAAGTTATGTTTTTGCTTTTTTGCTTTGCTGTTACTTGATTTAAGGGGTCTAATACCCACCCTTCTGCCTCCTTCTTTAGGTTTAAATGAATAAGTCAGATGATGTCTTGAGTTCAGATAGCAAAGGTTGAGAGATGCAACTTGAGCTTTCAAGTCAAATACAGATTTTCTAGCAGTTTGACCTTATGGATCAATGCAGTTGGTAGCAGCTTGGGCTTATAAACTAAATGCTATATAGAGAAATAGGTAAACATAAAGGTTGCAGTATTAGATACTAATCTAATTACTAAATTTAAGTACACTTGATGCTAGACAAGAGCTGTGAAGCATGTGATGGCAAGACACTTACCTATGATTTGTAAAGTTGTATTAAGTTCAACTATAATACATGCAGAAGAGGAACAAACATGTCAATCAATTTTTATGCCAAATTTTACCAAAATCTTGCCAATTAATTGTTGTATCAAAATTTACCCAATCAATTTTCATGCTAAAATTTATCTGAATCTTGCTTATCAATTTTCATATCAAAATTTACTTGGTTTATTCTGGTCTATTTTTATGTTAAAATTTACCTGAATCTTGAACAGATGATATGAACTTCCAAACTTGAAATTTGTGACTCAGGATTGATTTGCCTAATAAAAAGTATAAGGTTAATTGATCACATGAAATTAAACAATTGTAAACATGATAATTAGTCAATCAATTTTTTTTACTAAATCAAAGATATCTTATAATCTAATAGTCAGAATTTGATGAATCTCATATCATTCGATTCATCTCAATAAGAAGCCAGGAATAAAAAGGTGGTTTGTTGTAAAATGAGTATAGGTTGAAATGGGATGAAATAATTCTGTGCCAGGTTTTGTCGATCATTGTATGTAGAGTTAGTATTTAGAATAAACTTAAAGGCCAGATAATTATATTATAAAATCGCTCAAGGAAACCCTTTTGTTAGAGCACTAAAAGTGGTTCTGTATGTGTTTTTTTTTTTGAGAAATATGCTATTTTTGACAAAACGAATGTTTGTTTTAAACTTTCCTGGTCGTGTTACTTTACACCTGATTCTTTGAAATATGATTTGTAGATGGGATATTTGCGCCACAATGATAAACTCTCATTATTTTTTTACTAGTAAAAATATATTACTGTAATTACGTAATAAACTTTACTAAACTACGATGTTTATTTAAATATTAATTGCGATGTTAAACACAATTGGGGAGATGTTAAAGTATTGTAGAATGTTTCTATTGTTGCATCGTGTGATGCCGGGGTTCCAATATTCAATAAAGTAGCTGCGCGACGCAGTCGCACTAAAACCAGGAACGAAAGCAAATATAATAGTTAATAAATAGTCCAAGTAACGTACAAACGAGAAGTGATCTAGCATCTCATTAATATATTATGAAACATTTGATATACACTATAGGTAATTGACTCACATTAGCTAATCAAACAAAACTTTACAAGGCATCATGTAATAAATTATCTAGTTATCAGGTTATCTGATATTGTCTTTGACTATCAGTGATTATCATTTAATAAACAAATAAAAAGTCCTATAAAAAATAAAAAAATAAAAAATGGCACACATGTATATCCGTTGGTCTATATTCATCTGTGAAAAATAAACAAATTTGATGAATAAATCACGCGGACAAATCAAACTTAAGGTTTCACGGACAAACATCATATAAGCCATATACTTCGTGATTTCATCATTCTGCTTTTGATTAGTAATATATTGACACGAGCGAAACGGCGAGTCAGTCACTTGTCGATGGGATATGTCGTGTAACCTACGAACGGCTTAGTCGA